TAGAAAATTTTAGTGGCACATAAGGATATTATCATGAAAAAAATATTTTGAAGTTACATCACTCACATTTAATTATAAAACATATTATCATTAAAAAAATTAAGAAAAGTAAAATATTAAAGTGTTATAAAACATAATAGGAAAAAATGTTTATGCAGTTAATGCAGATAAGTTATCTGCATTTATTTCCAAAACGACGTCGTTTTGATATTGAAATCTTAAAAAATTATAAATATAAAGGCTATTATAACCCTGAAATAAATTAAAATTACAAAAACACCATGATTTCCGTCCCAAAATAACGTCATATTGGGCTTACTGCAGATAACTTATCTGCAGTAACTGCAGAAAAAGCGAACCCAACATAATATATAGGATCCGTTCTGAAAAAAATTTCACGTGTAATTACATTAATAATAATTTTTCATGAAATAGGTTGATGGGATGGATATGAATATACTGTAATCTTAAATACGATCAATTTTTTTATTTATTTTTTATTTAACCTCTAAGTTATTTTCTTTCCTAATCAGTCCTTATATTTATAAACATTCTCAAAATAGTCTTTATTGTTATAACATCGTCAGTTAATTACCTCAATAGTGTATGCTCCTTTTATGTGTTTTGTTCCGGAAAATGTCTTGTAAGTGCTCCTTTATTCCAGTAGGCGCTCTTGTAGCTACTTAGGGTGTGTTTGAATGTGTTTTTGTTTTTTTATTTTTAAAAATTGTTTTGAAGATAAATTTTGAAAATTGATTTTGAGAGTAAAAAAATAATAAAACTTGTTTGAATATAATTAATTTTAAAATTATAAAGAAGTTGTAGTTATTTACAAAAATGCCATTAATGAATCCTCATATTTACAAGATTGCCACCGTAAAATAATTTAAAATTAAAATAAAAATCCATTTAATTACGAAAATGCCCTTAATGAAACCCCATAATTACAGAAATGCCACCGCACAAATCAGAAAATAGGAAAACAGCTTTAGAAAACATCCTGGTATTGTTTTTCTTTTTGAGTTTTTAAAACAAAAAAACAGTCATTGTTTTTAGAACAGATCCGACGAAAAACTCTTTCCAAACAATTTTTTTTGTTTTATTGTTTTTAAAAATTTAAAAACTGTTCTGCGAACAGAAATCAAGCAGAGTGCTACTTAATTTTTTGTTGTTGATAAATTGCTACTTAATTCTTTTAAGTAAGCACTCTTTTGTTTACTATGTGTTATTTTAGATTCTCTATTTTCTGTATAAAGTGTTCAGTATTGATTAAATTAATAATTGTACCGTGAAAATGGCGATAAATATTATTTTGAAAATGTGAGTGTTCAATAAAGTGTGTTCCGTAAGTGTGAAGATTGATTTGAAAAAAGAAACCACAAGGTCAGTTTTTAATTTAACCAAAAATAAAACTTCAAGATGTAAAATTCCTAATCCAAGCGTTCCTAAGGCTTTGTTTGGGAGTTTGGAAGGGAAGGGAAGGAAGGGGATCCAAGAGGGAGGGAGGAGAAGGAATAGAAGGAAATTGAAGGGTATTCACTTCCCTTGTTTGGGAGTTAAAAAAGTGGTAAAGAAGGAAAATAGAGGGTTAATGAGATATTTTTTACTTTTTTATCCTTTTTTAAAATTAATATAATTATTCCATTTTACAAATTAAATTAAATTTAAAATTTCTAACAAAATTATGTATGTACTTTTCACAACACCAAAAAAGATAATATTTTCGATGAATTTCTACATTGCAAACGATGAAAATTTCATCACAAAATTATTTTTTTCGTCGGAATACTTTTCGTCAAAAAGCGACAGAATTTTTCAACTGATGGAATTTTTTACAAAAATAAATTTTCTATCGAAATTTTTGACGAAATTTAGTTTCCATCAAATGTTTTAAACGAAAAAAGAATTCTGTCAAAAATTTTGACGGAACATTTACTGTTTGAAATTTCGATGGAAATGTGTTCTGCCGAAAATTTCGACAGAAATTGTATTGTTAGAAATTTTGAGGGGAAATGTTTTATTCGAAACTTTCGACGAAATTTAATTCTGTAAAGAATTTTGACAGAATATTTTTTCAGTCAATTTTTTGTCGAAATATTTTCCGTCAAATATTTTTACGAAAATATTTTTTGTCGGAATTTTTTGACAAAAATGTGTTCCGTTGAAAATTTTGATGAAATTTTTTTTATCAAAAAACTTGACGAAAATATTTTCCGTAAAAAAATTTCGATGGAAATGTGTTTCGTTAAAAATTTCGACAAAATTTTATTTGCCAAAAAATTTAACGAAAATATTTTCGTCGAAAACTTTCAGCGAATTTAAATTCTGTCAAGAATTTTGATGAAATTTTTTTTTATCAACAATTTTCGATAGAAATGTGTTTCGTTGAAAATTTTGATGGAAATATTTTTCGTCAAAAATTTCGATGAATATGTTTTTTTGTGAAATATTTTGCAAAATTGAGATTCCGTAAAGAATTTTGACAAAAAACATTTTCCGTCAAAATTTTTTACATAAATATTTTTAGTCACACATTTTGATGGAAATATTTTCCGCAAAAAATTTTGACGTAATTATTTTACGTCGAAACTTTTCGATGGAATGTGTTTCATCAAAATTTTGGACTGAGATATTTTCGTTAAAAGTTTCGACGGAATTTAGATTCTTCAATAATTTTGACTGAATTTTTTTTTCATACAAAATTTATGTTAGTGATTATGGCAAAATCTGATTCCGTCTCTAATTTTGTCTTTAGTTTTGATGGAAATTTTTTGACGTATATGATTTTCATCAAAAATTTCATCACTATTTTTGACGAAATATTTTTCGTCAATAACTTTTGTTAGTATTTGAGACTTTTCTAATAATATCGCATTTAAAAATGATTCACAATTATGTATGTTTTAACATTTTAATGCTAAAGGTAGATAAGTAATTTTTAATACTTTTCCCCTTAAACCCTCCAAATTGGGGAAACTCTAATTTTAAGAAGAATGAGGATTTTGGAGGGTTTAGTGAAAATCTCCAAATTCTTCCATTTCTTGTTTTAAACTCACAAACAAAGAATGAGCTAAAACCCTCCCTTCCCTTTCCTTCCCCTCCTAAAATCAATTCACACACAAAGTCTTAGTGTTCTGATCCAACTGGGTAAAAACCGAAAAGGCATCTTAGATATATGGGGCGAAAATCTTACATAAACACTACTCAGATCATTATATTTCAATAAATTGGTATTCTAATATCATGTATAAAATGATCTAGGAAATATCATAAAATCTTCAACTTCAACAATGTTAATTCCTTGTTGCATTATTCCCATTTGATTTTCCCTTTATTACTATATCATAATATTTTTAATCCAACTCCACCTCTACCTTCCTAAATCCAAGGTTTTAAATTACCTTGGTTTATTTAGGAATTAGGGATAAAGTTGGGAAAGGAATGTGTTATGCAAAAAATATATAAATGAAAAAATTCATGAATATAATACCTTAGGTTTTGGGTTAAAATATATAGTTTAATGTCTTTCATCTTCTACATACATATAAAAATATATGGGACCCATATTTTTCCCCCTCGCTTTTCTTCAAATGAGCCCAAATAAATCCTACATACTTTTATGTGTATGTGTGTAAGATAATTTTATATATATATATATATATATATATATATATATATTTTGGAGTTACCCAACCCTAATTATCTCTTTGAGACGAGTTGGCTCCCTCCAGTATCCCCACGAGCTTCAACTCTTAAATCTTAAATCCGCTTATTATCATGGATAGTCAGTTATCTCATTAACGATGAAAGGGGTAGCTTTGGTTCATGATTACTGACGAAAGGAAGCCCACTTTGAAATTGACTGAACATACAGTCTTAAAACTAACCATGATAACTAGCATTCATGGTCGATATGGTCGTTGTTGGAGGACAACGCCGTAATGGTCCAGGTTCAAATGCTGGTCCAAAAAAAAAAAAAACCAACCATGATAGAAGTGACGAAATATGTATTCCATTTCAGAAAGGAGGGTCCGTCGCTTCTCACGTGACTGCTGATGAGAAAAGTTGCAGCAAATTTTTAACACTAGGATACACGTGCGGATACTAAGATACACGTGCAGATTCTATCAAAAAAAAAAAACAAAAAAAAAAAAACCAGGATTCGGACGCGTATCCTGTGTTGCTGCAAGTTTTCCCTTCTGCAGTCACATAAGAAGTAGTTTCCCTTAACAATAAACTTTTGTTCTTTTTGGACCAAACATATAGGACTAACATGCTGTACATGTACACGCACCCAAAACTCAACTTTTCTCCAAATCATGGCCATATTGTAACTAACCATCCGGCCAAAAAAAAACCAAATTAATGTTAAAATTTAGTTTCATAACCTCTCTAGAGTTTGGTGTTTGTCATTTTAAATAACATAAGTTATGTCATTTTAAGAGAGAGATAGACACAGAAAAACGAAAATCAAGGGAGAGAGAATGTGGGTGATTTTTTTTAACTTAAAATTCAAATTTTTTGTGTCTGTATCTCTCTTAAGATGACATAACTTTCTGTCATTTAAAATGACAAACACTTTTTCCTCCAAATATACCCTAAATATGTTTTTTTTTTTTTTTTATGGTATCCCAATTGACTCATTGAAAATTCAATTAATTCAGTTGGAGTAATGTCAAACACATATAGGTGGAAGCTTTTCCAACACAATTTTATCTTTTACGAACTCTGAGACCTATATATGTTTCTTTTAATTAGATGAAAGTTTAGATGGAATTAAATACTGATATCCCACATGAGCTACAACAGACCCCCAATCTCTTTGGAAATTTATGGAGGAATTATATATTGCCCCATCAACAAAATCCTCGTATCAACCATTGCGATTCGAACTCACGCTCTTGTGAGATGCAGCCTGATCCTTAATTAACCACGGCCACTCTTGTTGGCATGGTTTTTAGTTTGTAAGAGAATGGAACTATGACATTATTTTAGTAATTGAAGGGTTATTTAAAATTTCAAGCCTCATTTCTTTATATATATTACGGGGGGAAAATGGAAAGAAAATGAGCTTCTTTATACAAACCATGGTGAACTTTTCATGATTGAATTAAAAGGGTGTGCTTGAAAACATATGATGAATCGGGCACTGGTAGAAATAGGGAAGGAGACTTGAATAAAACAAAATCAAAGAGCATCATAACTTGACAGTTTGCTAGCTCACATATTGCTTCTCAAGAAGGCTACCACAGAATGCCAAATCAAATCTCTCCTCAGGAGGATCACCAATGAAGTCAAAGACAGCATCTGCATTTAAGAAATCTTCATCTGCTGTATATCTGCATTTGGGATAAAAAAAAAAGTCAGTGGAAAGCAACCTCATCTTCACAAAACCGTTTGCATTTAAGAACCATACTGAGAAAGTAAAGATGGTTTGTCACTTCTAACAAGCTTTTAACAAGCATTTAAAGGTAAATCAGGAGCCAAAAATGTTTTCTAGAATTAACTAAGGTAAGTTACACTAGAAAGTAACCTCATCATATGAAAGAGCTATTGCATTACGCCATTACCTAATATTGCAGAGAACTACCTTATTATTAGTCTTTGCACTGATTTATGAAAGTAATTAATAACGTTGCTACATATTGCATATAATGGATAAAATATAATTTCCGGATTCACGTGCCAACTTCTGAAATGTGAGATTCAATTGTAATTCTGTAAGTAAAACACTTCACAAGAACAAATATAATTTCAACCATGTGCTGTCGTGTAGCAAACATGTACTTTATGCTCTAAAGGCATAGGACCACCCTAATGTCACCAAATTTTCTAATTTCATAAAAAAAAAAAATTGTTTTCTTTTTCTTATAGTGTGACAATTAGTTGGGTTCTTTTATTTTTCCCAGAAAAGGTATCACTCTTTAATAATAAAATCTACTTCCACTTTAAACATTATTGCAGATAACCACTTCCCACGAAGGCATATAAGGGCTATTTAATGACTAGTACAGCCTTTACATAACAAGCAATAACAGTTCCACAAAGATGGCAGATACAATTTTCTGTAGTCTGGTCAGCTCAGAAAACTTTCAAATCATGCATAGAATAGAAGTATTCACATTGTTTTCAAATATGATAAGATATTGTACGGTAGGATAAAAACACTTCCATGGTATTCATATTGTCCATCAAACAAGTAGAAATTTAGAAAACATAAAGCTGCTTTCCGTTTAGTTAATAGAAATTTACCCGCTCTTTGTTATTATACACTTCATCCCGGCTGCTTTAGCAGCTGCAAGGCCTATGGCACTGTCCTCCACCACAACACATCTGTAGAAAATAAATAATGACATTTCACATTTAAATGTGACATAATCAATGAATAAAAGTGAATGTCAAAGTTAATAAAAAATAAATAAAGTGAATGTCAAACACTTAAGTTGTTGCGTAAGACACACATGACATGTTTGAAAATTGGAAGGTTAAAAAGGATTATCTGCAGAATATTTCCAAATATCAATTCATTTTATTTTCTTGCAAGCCATCACAGCAACTGTAGAACTGTATGGTGTTCTATTTATTTGAATAATAATTTTAACATAAGTTACTATCACCTAGATAGAGGGTGAGCCTAGAACTATGGTAAATATGTTCGGTTGTGACCCAAAGGTGACGGGTGTGAATCCAAGAAGTAACCCCTTTGCAAAAATATCAGGGTAAGAAGATTGTGTACAAGGATTTCCTCACCCTTATCCTCGCAAGTCATGGTTTTATGGAAGTTGTTTTTTTACTATCACCTAGGAACTACTATTGAGGCATACCTTGAAGGTTCAACACCCAGAGTGCTGGCTGCTAACAGATAGATGGCCTGTCAGAAAGAGCGAAATGCAATTAGCTGCTTAGATCATGCCATATTGTAATTCAATCATTTAGAAAGAAAGACTACATAAGTCAACTTTAGAATCAGATTGTTTTACCACAATAAAATTTTGTTTTACATAGAGTCACTGAATATTCCAGAACGCTAAAACAAGTATATTAAGCTTCATACTTGGCATAAAGGACTTTTAATCATTGAGTTTCATTTCCAAATGGATTTTTATACAATAGATGAAATTCTATGTTCATATGCAGGGTTGTAAAATAGGACTACATATATATTTAGATTGTATCCTGAAAAACAACCAAATTAACATTATAAGGATGAAATTCTTACTGGATCAGGCTTTTTGCGGGGAACCACATCTCCTGCAAATATCTTGATTTTTTCTGCTCGCTCAGGTCCCAGCAAGAAGGATACTATTGCAGAGACCTAAAATCAACTTACAATTCAGGTCTGAGGATGAAATAACAAATAAACGTAGATCCAATCACCAGTGCTATGTGATTCACTGATAATTAATCTATTAACAATTTGAAGGTTGATCTATTAACAGCTCAAATTGCCCATATTGCACTTATGAACAATTATACATCAATATCAACAAATAACCACGAGGCTATAACTATTAGGAATCAAATTTCTAAAATATTATGAAACAAGGGATCAGTGAGTCATTTTTCCCTTTATTCAGAAAAGATTTATTTAAGGAATTGTGTAACTGATTATGCATACCGCCTTCTCATTGGAAGTGCTGCAAACAGCAACATTGACTCCTTGAGCTAAAGCCTGATCAATAAGCCTATATGTTTCATAAAAAAGAAACACACAATAAGATAAGACACATACTTCACGCGTCTATAAAAAACCATACAGTTTTTAATCTTGCAAGATATAATATGAAAACTATGAAAGTTGTATCAAAATTAAGGGGTGTCATAAACAATACTAGGTCAAAGTTTTGACAGGTAACTAGATCATGAATTCACAACATGGGATGTTTCACATCTTTTAAATCAACTATTTTGCAGGTAACTAACTACTCTTTTGTTTCAAGTTTAAATAAACTAACTAGTCAAGAACCAGATATCCCAAGTTGTTTTGACATAATTATTAAGAATGGAAACAGCAAAGACCGAAGTCTTGCTTAACCAATAGGTCAAAGAGGTGCTGATATCATGAAAAACCAATGCTTAAGCTATGAGGTAAATGGTTTTATTTATATGTTCAACAAAAACCATTATAAATAAACAGCTTAGATATAAGATAAAGAACAGATAGTAACCAACTTTGCAACACCTGGGCGAAGAGGCAAAAGTTTTTTCTCAATCAGGGCCATGAATAGTTCTGTCTTTCGCTTGTGAAGTGAAGCTATGAAGTCTTTTCTTTCTTGCTCACTTGTTGGGGCATTTGCAGGCCAACCTGTTTTGTTAAAGTATGCTGTCATCCTAGGAAGAAAAAAAGAACAAAAGGCACATCAAGTCTAGCTTCAAATTCAATCAAATGATGAATTCAACAATGGATTAGATTTTGAATTGATGGAAGAGAAAACAAAAAAAGAAGGGAAAAAGAGTGTTTACTTTTAAATAACATAAACTTACGTCATTTTAAAAGAAAAATAAATAGAAAAAGGTGTGAGTCTAGTTCAAAAAAATAAAGAGGTGAGTCTCATTTTTGTGTGTCTATCTCTGTATTAAAAGCATATAAGTTTGTGTCTTTTAAAATGAAGTTCACTTTTCCCAAAAAAAAAGAAAAAAAGAAAGACAAACCTTTCTTTTCCACCTCCAATTTTGAGCAATTCCCCGTACAAGTCCACGTCCCAGGTAACGCCTAGTTCTCTCTGCATGGCCAAAACAAGGAAACAACATATTTGTTAAAGTAAAAGGTCAACAAAGAAAGCACCAACTTGTGTCCTTCACTCCATTGAACAACATTGTTAAGAAATGCAAATGTGCAAGAGTTAAGTGTACCTCTTGGAAGGTTTCGTTAAAAGATATGCGGTGGCCATCTTTCTCAGTGTCAACAAGGACTCCATCACAGTCAAATAGAAGAGCTGAGGGAAGAGTGGAAGAGGAAGACGCTGAGGCTGAGCAACTCAACCTACGTGTAATAATTCCCACTTTTGTTGTTGTTGTTGTTGATCTTGATATCTTAAGAGCAGTTACTGTTGTGTTGCCCATGAAAGAGGATGATGGAACTTGTTCATGGTCCTTCTGCTTTAGCAAACTTTGAGTTTTTGGTTGTGTTGTTGTTGGACTCAAGATTGAAGCAGAGGAAATGGAGATGATGCTACTTGCAGCCATTGCAATTTCTTGGGACAGTTAAAATCCAATGGTTTCCAACTTCCAACATCCAACACAGGTTTTGATTAGGTTGAGACATCTGAGCATTCGCCACGTGGAATAGCCACTTCTCATTTTCAGACTATCAAACCTTTACCATTCTTTTTTCTTTATTTTATTATGGGCCTATAGAGGCCCAAAATTTTAATTCAGGCCCAAAATAATAAATGCTCCGATTTCATTATCCTCATAGAACATTTACACGTATTATTGCATTTTAGAGTCTTCCCTGACGAACTAACAACTTCACTTCTCATTACACCTATTTTCGTTGGCCACTCCTAAAATTATCTATTATAAAATGAAATTGTAATTCACAATATCCTCCCTTAATTATTTGCATTTCTATCTTAAAATATTTGAGTCCTTGAGTATTTAGACGATAATGCTCATAAAATTTTAAATTGAAATTAATATTAATGTTTTCCAGATTTAAATATTCGAAATTTGAAATTAAAATTTAGCATCAATGTTTTTCAAAATATTAATTTTAAAGTTAATCATGTCTTAATGTTTTTAATTGAAGAATTTACAACGAATAAAAAAAAAAACCACCTGACTTTCGCATGGACCCTAACGTTAAGGGTGTAAATAAGTTAGGCTAAACTTAACTTTACCTTAAACAGGCCAAGTCTGTGTAAAAAACATTGAGTCTAGCTTAACCTGTGTAAACCCTAAATTACAAGTTTGATCTGACCTATATTTAAAAAATAAAAATCTTAGCTTAGACCTGTTTAAACTTATTAAACATTCAACAATTAAAATAATAACTAAAATAATATTAGTTTATTATTCAAAAATATTAAAATAATAATTTTATTTAAAATAAATAATATAATATAAACTGACCTATAGACTTATAGGCCCGACATGTATAAAAAAAAACTTATGGCTTCTTTTTTAAATAGATTTTTTTAAAAAGCCTAAACCTGTTCTATTTTACTATTTGTTAATAGATTAAGCCTAGCCTAATATAAACTAAGTCGTAAATCCCTGTAAGCCAGCCTGACCTAACCCATTTACACCCCTACGTATACTTTTGAAACAGTCTGTAGCTTTGAATAGCTTAGAGTTGCACATATTTAAACCATCATTTTACTTACCATCATTATATAATAGGATTACATGATGAAAATATATATACAGGTAAGTAGCAATTAATGGATCATTTTTCATAAACAATTTTACATCTTGATCCTCCGCATATAGCCTGCAGATGAACTAGAAAAGAAAAAATACTATATACTAAATTGCTAATTTTCATAGCACGTAATGATACCAAGGGAATTCCTCTTTGATTCATATTACAAATGGATGTACAGCAGAAGAGAAACTACCTGTCCTTGAGGGACAACAATATCATTCTTTAAGATGGCATGAAGAGAGGCCTTTGCCTAACTTTGACATGGTAACCACCTTAATCAAGTTAGACTTAGCTGCATCCAGCAGTGGATCTGATTGAAGGGCCTTGTCAAAACAATGCTTGGCCGCTTCCCAAAGACCCTCAGCAACAAACACTAGACCCAAATTGTTGAATGCAGGAGCATATCCAGGCTGTAGTTCAAGTGATTTTGTAAACATTGCCTTCGCCCGTTGATATTGTTTCTGATGACGATACAGAATTCCCAAGTTGGATAATATAGCATGTGCTTGTTGAGTTGTTGCTGAAGACAAGGCCTGCTTGTATACTTGTTCAGCTTGTGATGATTCTTCTGATAGTTGAAGTGAGACACCTATACATGCATTTTTGACTCATGAACACCGAAAAAATGGAATAGTTCTTTCATGGGAAAAGGGGGTCAGGAAAGGGAGCCGAAGTGCCAGAACACCGTTGGTAATACCAAAGACATACACTATTGAACATGAGAAAATGCATATTCCTGTTACAGCCAATAAGAGAGAGGGAGGGAGAGTATACCTAGGTTAGACCATGCATAGCAGCAATCCTTGTCACAGGCAACAGCAGCCTTGAGGTACTTCTGTGATGTTTTGAATTGCCGAGCACAAAGACTATGAACACCAAGTTGGAGCCACTGCACAGCATCATTAGGATCTTCTGCTATGGCCTAGTAGACAAAGAATGACACGCCAAACAAAGAGGTGAGAAATTATATCCATCATAGAAACACCTAAAGACATTATGATATATGACATTTCAGATAAGCTGTCTCAACAACAGAGTATGCATGATAAAAGCTCAATTAGCAAGTGGATCATTAAGATAAAGCTTGAAAATTCTTCATCCCATGAGTGATAACTGCACCTCAACCTGGGGATGATAACAAATAAAGCAATAAATTACCTGTTTTAAACTGCAAACAGTTCGCTCTTCCACTTCTGTCAGCCCATGCTGTTCATTTTCATATGCTGCTGCTATCTCATGCTGAGCCTTGTGAACCATGGCAAGCCCGGCCCATGCTATTGGAAGCTCAACCAGGGATGAATCACCATCTCTTATTATAGAAGCCATCTCGTTTCCAGCACACGAAAGCAGTTCACTAGGATCTTGAGATCTTTCTGCTTCCTTTATTCGATGGACAGCAACAGCATATCGAGTAGACATGCAATTGGGCTCCAGTTTTGCTGCCTAAAAAGCAATGGCAACAGAGGGAGGGGGAAAATTAGTAGATGACAATCCACAGTGCCACAACTTCCACAGAAGCTGTTTTTCTAAAAATAAGGGAAAAACGTTAAAATGCAATACAAACGTGACCAATGAGAATAATGCCTGCCTTTTTAAATATGAAAAAGAATGCATTCAAAAGGATCCACAAAAATTTGTTGCACATAATCAGAGATCTAAACATTTCCGCCAAGAACAAGGACCAAGAAACCAATGAACAACCTCAATAAATACGCTATAAATGACTATAGCAAGGGGCCATGAGCACCTTCTCCAAGCACTTGCTGGAACTTCGATGATCACCACTAATAGAAAACGCATAGGCAAGATTTGACCATATATGGGCTGATTTTCCGTCTGCTTTAATTGCAGCTAACAAACATTCCTTAGCAACATTAGCAGCCATGACCTGATCTGCCAAAGCATCTTCAGCAGCACTTGCACCAGCACCTGGAAGTAATGAAGAATCATAGAACAAAAAAACCATATTACAAAAATCTCTTCAACCACTTAATAATAAATAACAAATAAAAGTAATACCCACACAAATTGAGTGCATAGAGCACAGTACCTGCTATAATCGATGCATATTTACACAAAAGAAGGGCAGAATAATTGACCAAAGCTGCAGGATGGTTTTGATCTTTTAGTATCAACCCTTGGAAACATTTTGCAGATAATTCCACATTCCCACTGCAAGGTAATATGGTTAGTAACAGTACAGAGGAAAGATGTAATGTGCTGGTGTCAAAAGAATGGACATACGAAGAGAACACAAGATACAGAAGATTTCTTATTCAGGACAGTAAGGAAGTGTTCTTGCTCAAAGAAAAACACAATAAAAGTGTCACAATAACTCTTCCTCTTCAGAGAATGTCTCTGGCCTACTCACTCTCTTGATTAAAAAATTCTCAATCCCTTTTTCTTCCTTCCCCCTCCCTATTTAAATGAAAACCTCCTTCTAATTCTGTTACAAGACAATTAGGAATATCCTAACTGATTCCCACCCATTAACCGCCTTCATTTAATTTTCCCCCCTGGCCCACTTAGCCTGCCCCTTTATATTTCTTCTAACATAGGTATGAATTGTAGGGAGTTTTCTTACAGATATGAATGGAATAAAAACTCAAATATACCCTTTTTCAATTAAAGCCAAAAAAATATTGGTATTTACCAAATAATTCAATGCACTTATGCACTATTCAGGGAAAAAAGAGTGGAATATCAACTAGAACAGAATAGCAACAGATCTCTATTATAAAAGCAAAAACCAATATTGCATAGATGTTCTAGTCTCCCATTCAAAATTTTCCAGTCTAAACTAGTACCCTTCATAGTCCGCCATAATGTCTTGTATGTGTTATGAAGATGAACTTTTCATTTTCCTCTTAATAAAAACTTTACTATTGGCCACTCTTTTTCAGATAATTTTAATACAATTTTTAATCTCTAAAGGAAAAATTACATTTTTTTGCCATTTTTCTCAAGGGGTTGCGCTTCCTTTCCTGTCTTGTAATAGGCCATAAAACTTCCCTATTTATCATAGTCTCTTTTCCTTGTGTGGTGAATCTGGTGACCAATACTATGGTCTCTCAAAATTATTACATGCGCAAAACAAAAGATTTACATCATATTTCATATGATTTTTGCTTTCATCTATCAATGCAACAGCAATAATCGTCTGTCTCTGTCCATTCAAAATCAACTTTCCTTCTCTATTTTTCATATTTCCATTCCTTCAAGGTCTCTTCAATTATTTCAGGTGCAAAATGAAAAAGGAAATTCCATATGCTATGTCAAAAAATCTTCTCTACTCAATTTTTTTTAAGTAATCATAAGATAAATTTATTTCAAAACCTCTCTGTTTTCAAAGATCTTATCTTCATTTCCTCTGTAAATTGCTTTATTCACAGTGCTATAAAATAACAGATATTAACACACACATAAAAAAAAAAAAGACACTGTCACCACATATCACATGGGGATGAACCAAGAATTTGTTAAAGGTGCTAATTCTTATGGAAATGTTAAATAAAAAAAATAATAACAGCCCCAGTATGTTAATTTAATACCTGAAGAAAAAGGTGAATACCATTCAAACTTACATTTGAAGATAAGCTATCCCAAGATTTCCTAGGCAATCATAGTTCTCTGGCGCAATGACCAACAGCGATGACAAAACTGAGATAGCACTCTACACCAGTATTTGAAGTTTACATTGGTCAGGCAAAGGGGAAAAAAAGTAGTCACATCAAATACTAAAACTGAAACAGAAACATCATATATGCCTTAAGAACAATAAAGCATAAGCAAAGAAGGAAAACAAGGTACTTGTACCTGCACACGACCAGTTTTAAGAAGAATAAATCCTAGTGTATTCCATACAGCTGCCTGTTTTATATCTGACTGCACCGACTCTTTCAGTTTAGAAAGAATTTCCTCAAGTTCGCAAGGTTCAAGTTCTTTATCTGAACTATTTTCTGATGAACTTTCTAGTATCAGGCACTATAAGGATTATAAAATATGTTAATGAACAGAGATTAGAATTATTAATCTATCAAATTAAGATTATTGCACCTGTGCATGGTGAATCTGAACTAAAGAAAGCAACTCTGGCCTATCAATCTCAGCCTCAGATCTGAGTAAGATCTCTTCTGCCTTCTCATAAGCCAATACAGCCTGAAAAATTTTAAAGACCCAATGAGTAAACTATATGTATCGAATAAAACAGATGAATTTTAAACACTACCTTTTGAGGTTGGCTTAATCTTTGGTACATCAAGCCAAGTATAAAATGAGCATGAGCATTTTTGGGCATCTTCTTTGCAACATGAACCAAGCCCTACAAGCATGAACTTATTTTGTCAGTTATAAAGCAAGAACAACAACAAACACAATAACAACAACAGCATGAACAATAACAAAGGTCATAACCATAACAATAAATTACTACTATGTCAAGATTATAGTTTTGGCTTTCCAACCTCCCACTTTGCCACAGAAATAATTGATTCAATGATAGAAAGATGGTGATAACATAGGAAGAAAGTCATCTATAATTCAATCATGGTAAATTTAAATGTTGAGCAAACAGCTTGTATTGAACAAGATTCATGGTCATAGATCCCTATCAAATAAACCCCATCATAAGCTATAAAAAGCAAAACAATAAACGACGACCAATTAAGAGAAATGAGTTAAGCATAAAGCATCTGAAGTGAGTTCAAATTTAAATAATGCTGCTATGCTACATATCAGCTACATCATCTATTTATGCTCACAACTTGAGAAGAGGAACAAAATATTAGGAAGTTCTTTTCTTAATGGAAAAATAGGAACAAGGAAACTGTCTCCATCTTCAACAGGTATGCATCACATCTTACATTATATGGCTAGATATATTTCAATAAATCAAGAAAAGCACAAGGAAAAAAGTCCATCTGCATGCCAAGACATGACCCATCTCCTATATTTTATCCAAAAAAAACAGTTGAAAATTATTTCTGATTTCCTACAAAAAAAAGTACTGATTGCCTAAATACTTCAACAAGCAAAAAGCCAATTCATGAAACAAAATTTTGAGGTCTTTGATTCTGTGTTTCAAACAAAAGGCATTTTTTTAAGTCCGAAAGATAGTTAAATGACCGATTATCGAAGCATTTGTGGTACCAAAAAAAAAATATGTTATCTTCAGATGCAGGATAGCATAGCCCAAAAAAGGGAAATTTTCGCATTCAAAAAAGAAACTGATTTAGAGTTTAAAAGAGAGATAATTAAATTAAAAGGAAGAACTCTAATGATTTTAGAGTAAACTCACAGTCTTCATGCTGCTGACTTTTTCCTCCCGAGATGAAGGAGCCCCATGAACATGCTGATCACCATCCACATCAGCTCCACAATCAAGAGAAGAATCCGTCTTGCTAAGTCTGGAGCGGCATTTCCCCAGTTTATTCAATTTTTTACCTTCACCTTCATTGCTATCAGTGTCTTTGGACAACAAACTCTTAACATGACTGTTTTCTACAGTTGTCAACCTATATATTAATTAAAACAAAGCAATAAATGACAAGAAGCAACAGAAAAATATATTCAGTATTAATATAGATAATTCATTTTGCACTAATAGGTCCCATCATCTCAAGAACTTTTTTTATATAGTTTAGGAAATCTTGATGACAATTAAACGAACGATCAAGAAAATGGTTTCTTTCATAAAACAATGTGGAAAATTTTCCCTCTAACCAAACTTCATTAGACTACAATACTCCAAGAAAATTTCCAAAATGAATAAAATGTTATATAATAACACAAAGAAATTTACAGTCACTGAACAAAGGACGGCAAATTCACATCAATGTGATGCCTATTTTTGTCCTAGGAATTGCATAACTTGGTTAGTTCAACATTCAACTGTATCGCTAGTAATTAATAACAGTCTGTACTTTTTGTTATGAGAGTCATCATCTTCAATAAAATTACAAGTTCCGAACCCTAAGGCCCCTTCTCCATCCTCATAGCCTTTATTGTAGCTCGAAGTCCTTGTGGCCAAAAGAACCCAATCCGAACAAACAGGCATTGTAACACTCTCAAAACACACATGAATACAGCGAAAAATAGATACCAACTCTACATTTTCCAGAATCTCGTAACACACGAGATATCATTCTAATTTACTCACAGTTGAATGGGAAAGAGATTCTCTTCAATAAAAAAAAAGTTCAAAAACGAATGTTCTCACAAATGAGCCTCTGGTAGCTGAGAACAATGAAATGTAGAAACTCAGAAAATCGCTAGGGATACTAGAACGCCCAAACTACCCTTAGTTTAACCTAAACTAAATTAGCAAGAGCTCATAAGGTTCGGTTAATTTTCAAGTTCGAGATTTCAATTTCTTCTCTGTGAATGAAGTAACAAAATATTAAAAAAAAGAAAAAGAAATGAAGGTATATGAGAATGAGAAAGAACAAAAACCTGGTAACTTGCGGAGGAGGGACAAGTGAAGAAACGTCGTCGTCGGCTTCGGCTTCAGGAGGATCGACGTTGAGGTCAGCCAAAACGACGAGCTTCGTTGTCGTAGGCTGAAGACTCTTCGAGTTCGAGCACTCTTCTGCTCCCAACTTCTCCGCCATCTCTTCAGTGTTAGGTTTCGCGTTCCGCATTTTCTGTTTTTGCGTTGCTATATGTAGGTTTTTGTGCACCCTCGTTGTTGTTTTTTCAAATTATCTTTCTTGTAAAATATTTTTGACACATGATATTGTTATTATTAATTATAGTGTTATTATTAATATTATTATCGGTTTATTCTATCGTTAGTTCAATTATTTTGATCCAATAATTTTAATTTAATTTTTTAAAAATCTTCTTTTATCTCCATATATTTAATATTGAGTAAATATTCTTTTTAGTCCCTGAAAATTTTCACGAAGTACAATTTAGTCCCTCGGTAAAAAAAAGTCATATTTCTTTGCCTGATTTTTGAAAAAAAGGGACACGTTTGTCCTTCTGTTACATGGAATGTGACGGCCCATTTGACGGAGGCCAGCTGGAACGTTAAGTGGCTGAGTCACTAATGTTACAGCCACGTGGAGAGAAAGGAACGACGTCGTCTTACATTGGAAGGCTGTATCAGGTGTGTAGAAGGGAACGACGTCGTTTTTGGCATAGACTTCTTGAACCTTTGTTGTTGACTCAGTTAACACAGTCAGACAAGTAACTTGTCCATACCCTCCATTTCCTCAGCTCGTGAGCTTCATTAGCGGTGAAGGTTGGTGACCTACGGTGCTTTGTTGCTGTAGGTGGCTTCTGCAGTTGCAAGCTTTTGGAAGTAGTGTGGTTTAGGGTGAAGATCTTTAAAACGGTTGTGACTGTGGTGACATTCGTGCAAGGTATGTGAGAGAAACTCTTTCTTTATTATCTGTGGTCCCTCTATCCTTTTAGTTCATTGTGTTTTTGCTTAATGTGGTCCTCCATGTGCGGTTAAGGGCAAGAGATGGTTAGGGTTTTTTTTGATGTGGTCCCCTTTGGTAGAATATTTTTGGAACTTGTTGCATGTGGTCCCCCTGTTGTTATTTTAAGTTGCTATGTGTAGTGATTACAAAAAAAAACCCCAATTTTTTAGCAATGCAGCCATTTAAAATAACCGAGTGTGTTACAGTTGTATAGTAATATTGATAAAAATTGATTGGTTGTATGATATTGTAAATTAATATTAAGGTAGTGTAAAAAATGATTATGTTCTGTTTTCTATGCAGATGGATGAATATATAGTCATAAGATATCATCACGGGGGTGTGTTGGTTAGGAATGACAAAGGAAAGCTCACTTATGTAAATGGGAGAGTGGATGACTTACCTAAGATGGATGCAGACTATGTCAACTTGTGTGACCTTGATACTCTGTTCAAGGGGTTTGGCTATCAAAGGTGTAAACAGATGCTGTGGCTGAAGCCTAGTGAAAGTGATTTGGATATTGGGTTATGTGTTCTTGAAAAGGGACCAGCTGCAAGCAAGAGAGGGAGGAGAGCAGCAGCACCTTCACATGCAGTTAATGTGAACATAGCAGCTCCACATGAAGAGGAGATCCCTCTGAGTCAAGGAGGACCTTCAAGGCAGTCCCAGGCAGCTGAGGAAGCCATTAGGGGCAACAACCCACCACCTACTGCCCCACCACCAGCAGAACAATTGTCAACTGAAACTGTAAATGCAACAAGCAGTGGCACAAGGAGCAGGCTTATGGCAATTATGGCCACACCTGGGTTTAGGCCACCAAGACCAGCTTGAATGAAGATGATCAGTTTTTTGTATAGGGATTCAATTTTTGTTGTATAGGCAACAATGGTCCTTAGTACCCAATTTTGTGAATTGTATTAACTGTTAGTTGTACCCCCATTATTATTTTGTATTTAAGGCCTTTAGGTGAAGTACTTGCTTTTTTTTGAATCACAATATGTCTCTGTATGGGTGTATCTTTAAGCAAAAAATAAAATAAAAAATAGGAGAATAGTTCTCTTTTGGGAAGTCCTGTAATTTTAGAATGTAAATGACTACAAGTTCCTCCTTCAATGACTACAAGTTCCTTTTTTTTTAAATCATTTTTTCCCTTTGCTGCAATATGTCTCTGTATTGCACTTTTTGAATCTCTGTATGAGTCTTTTTGATTCTTAGTATATGTTTTTGGAAAAAGTTTGTGATATAATGAGCTACAATGCAGGTGTTAAATGTGATGGGGTTGGTATTTGCTGGTTTGAAGTTGAATATGTGGTTTGAGTTACATTGCTACCATTGAGAATTTGCTGGTTTATGTTTGTGTACTGTCAATTTTTGACTATCCCTTCACTATAGGTCATGTTTGCTGCATTGAGAATTCGGTTCTCAAATTTTGTCTGCTACATATGCAGGTCATGTTTGCTACATATGCAGGTCATGTTTGTTTTTTTGCTGTTTGCTACATATGCAGGTCATGTTTGCTACATATGCAGGTCATGTTTCACTTCATCTTATGCCTACTGAGACTTTTAATTGTTTGTGTTACTGGCATACCTTTTTTTCTCTAAACAACTCATGTCCATTTTTTAACTATCAGGGACCAAATAGGGCCCCGATGGCATTTGTCAGGACTAAATTGGCCCTTGATACAAATTGTCAGGGATCAAATTGGGTTTAGTTTTTCATCATTAGATACCAATGTCCACTTCTCAATTTCCCATTTGCAACAAGGATTTGACTGGATATTTCACTACATCCAACTGTCATTTATCTGTAATGTCCATGTACCACCACATAACATCAGTCCACCCTCACTATGCAGATAAAAATGCTTATACCCCATCATGACAGTGGAATAGTTAAAAGGAATAAACTTCATATGATGATTGCCATGTGGGCTGTATTACTCTATAACTTAGTTCAATTGCTATTGAAATAGGGTCTTAGTATATCATGAAGTTACCAGTATACACAAAATCACATTTTATAGCACAAAAAACAGAAATACAAAGCCATATAATCATGGCATCTTGTGAACTTTAATCATCAAAAAACAGAACTACATTGTCATTACATTTCATTGAAGAAAAAAAACATTTCGTTCACTACATTTAATTGTTACAACAATTGCAATAAAAAAACAAATCATCAAAAACCCTACACAAGCAGCAACTAAGACCCTAGCAGCCCTACCAACATGCTTAATTTCCTTCTCCATCCTATCTAACTCCTCCACCATCTTCTGGTATAGCTCATTCAGCTTTCTTTCCTGCACCTTGATACTCAGTTCTTGCTCACTAATTTCACACCTTGGTCATTCAACTTAGCTTGCAATTGGTCACTCATCATCATGTCCACATACTGAAGCTTGAAATCCATTTCAGCAACATCCAACTCCACCTTGTTCATTCTTCCATCTTCAAGCTCCAGCCTTTCATTACATACATCATCTACCCATCTAAAAAAATTACAAAAGGGCTTCTTATCCTGCCAAAATTGCAAACCACGGTAAGCAAATATTCCAAGTTATCAAAACTCAATTTACAAATGTATACCTTGAAATTAGGGCACCCAAAGAATGCCCTATTTGGGTTTCTCTCTGTTTTGGAGGTATAGATGATTGTTTGCCTCCCACATTTGCACCTTTGACCGCCAGTCCGTGAGGTTGTTCTACACCCAAAAGACGTACTCCCACTTGATCCCCCCAAGCCAGATGACATACTCATCTTCATCAACGCACTACAAAATAGCCAGTAAACACCTTCTACTTGACACTCTTTTCAATCTTCATCGTGGGGAGCTTTTGGGGTTTTTTTGTTCATGGCTTAGGCTGATTTAGGGTTCCTAATTTGACAGGGACTAATTCGGGTCACTGACCCTTTCATGCAAGGGTCACATGTCCAAACATTGGGATAGACACAAGGCATCTATCTGAACGACGTCGCTTTCTTTCCACGTGGCTGTGACGTTAGTGACTCAGCCACTTAACGTTCCAGCTGGCCTTCGTCAAGTGGGCCGTCACATTCCATGTAACAGAAGGACAAACGTGTCTCTTTTTTTCAAAAATTAGACACTGAAATGTGACTTTTTTTATACAGAGGGACTGAATTGTGCTTCGTGAAAATTTTCAGGGACTAAAAATGGTATTTACTCTTTAATATTTTATATTTATTTTCGTCTATGATTGTAATTTTTCATATTTAAGATTTTCATATTAAATATAGAAAGTCATAACCATACAAAAATAGAAATAAATAAACCTATTAAATCAACATAATCAGTCTAATAATGATGTAACATTGGTAGTAATATTAATTCATAGCAACAATATTTTATCTAAATATTTTTAAAAAAAATAAAAGATTGGTGAAAACTGATATCTTATGATTTCGTTTTTTTTTTTTTTTTAAGGATTTCATTTTGACTTCATATAGGTATTATTTTTACCAAAAAAAAATCTAAATCCCTACCCAAGAAAAAAATGGGGAGACAAAAACTCTATTGAATGGTCTCACTCATCATTTTGATAAGAAATTAGAACTGTGGTTTTCTCAACATGCGATCTTATCGATAACCATTATTCGGTTTTTTAATGGTTCCCTCCATAATCGTGTAGCTTTACTACGAATTTTATTTAAAGAAAATTTACTAATTTTTAATGTTCTTTTTCTTTAATACAAATTGGTGTTATTTGTCACAATTTATGAGACAACATTGGAAGCACAACGCAAAAAATTATTTAATTAATTAAAGGTTGAGTTAGTAAATTGCATGTAAAGTTATGAAAAATAAAAAAGTTTTCAAGTAACATTATATTATATGTATCCAAAAATAAATTTAATAATACATAATAAAATAACATAAAAAAATTTGTGAGATTAATTGAATAAAAAAGAATTCAATCTCCTTAATCAAAATTTCAGATTCAAATCTCGCAAATAAAATAAAAATAAGTAGTATAATTATCAGACTCTAAAGTGACCATCTTTTTCAAGTTTTTTATTTTTTATAAACAATTTAGATATAATATAAGAATAAATAAACAGAGAACATAAGGTTCAACTTGATGAAAAATGAGAATTAAGGCTGAAAAACACACTATACTACTGTCATACCTCTTGATGCAACATCATTCTAAAAAGCTTTCAATGGAAAATAAAAGAACTCTATACAACGACTGAGATCATCGGAAACTCGGTCAGTAAGATGATTTTGAAAGAAAAATAAAAAAACAGATATAAAAGGACCATCAAAGTCCAACCATCCCAGATTTAAATATATTCAACGAGAGCTAAAGGGCAACAACAACAAATATAAGAGAAACAATGAAAATATATGTCCTCCTCAAGAAGCTGCAGCCTGGGGCAGTTAGACATCTGTAGCATTCGAATCATATGATGGGAGAAGCCAGCCCTTCCTGAGGGCATGCTCCACATAGAAGCCGAATTTCTCCTTTGCGTTAGGAATGTCCAGAGCAAGATCATCAAGACTATCCTTGATTCGGGTGAACCCTTTAGTCATCTGATTGATGGTGATCAGACCTTCACTAAAGCATTCCTGCAGCAAACCCAGCATCCTATCATTCTTCTTCTCCATGGCCATAACCAAAGCTTTCTTCACAACCTCATGGTTAAAGAAAGGCATTCCTAGGTCACGAATACACTGGCATGCTTCACTCACAACACCTCCGCTCTCATACTCCTCCAAGAGCTTCACGATCTTGTCCTTAGCATCTTCCACAGCCCATCCAGTCCCACCACCCCAACATCTCAATAGCCTCTCACCAGCATGACGAGCAGCAACGAGTGAACGAGCCATCCGCACAGTTTCACTCCCACAGCATTTTGGGGGCAACATGCTGCCAATTTCAACCAAATGCATATGGGCCAATACATCATCAATCACAGCTCGAGCCAAAAAAAGGGCAAGTTCATTTGAAGCATTCAATATATCGAGTGCTGTATCTTCTGCACTTTCCAGAAGCATGAAAAAACCATTAATTATATCCTCTGTTGAGAAGATCTCTATATGAAGAGCAGCTAGCAGTATAGATGCCATTTCCTTTTCCCTGTTCTTTCTGTCCAGAGCAAGTGTTATTAGCTTCTTCAAAAATATTGGGTTATACTCAGGTGTCCCAAGATCTTCAAGACTTCGAATGAGTTCAGGAATGTCATCAGAGAGAAAATATTCGTGAATTATAGTTACCACCTCTTTTTTGTATTTCCTCAAATTTTCATCTTGAACTTGGACATCCCCATCTTCACCAGAGGGTTTCATAAATGAAGCATCAAGCCATCCTTCTGATATTGCCTCATGTATCAATGACTGAAACAAAGTTTTAGCTGATGGAATATCAAGAGCAAGATCATCTAGGACTTCTGCCAAACGAGAAAACCCTTTAACCATTTGGCTGGAACTAACGAGTCCTTCTTCTGCTGCTTCTTTTAATAGCTTTAACATTAGAGGTTCCGCTGAATGTATCTCCATGGCAAGCACCAGAGCCCTCTTCACGATCTCATGATGGAAGAATGAAACCCCTAACTCACGTATACACCTACAGGCTTCAAATGTATCACCGCTACTCACGTATTCTCTTAGTAAATCAGCAATCCTCTTCTTCACATTTTCAACAGTTACGTGAGTACTACCACCCCATCGCCTCTCCACAAGTTCTGCGTGGTGCGGAGCTGAGAGATAACTCTTCTCAGCAGTCTGGATTACCTGAACTCCCTTGGAAGATTCTGGAAGAGCCTTCTTGGCCCTGGCAAGAAAGGCTGGAGGAAGGATGTCATCAACAACAGCACGTGCTAGGAACAAAGCAAGGATGTCAACTGCATCCAGTATGTCTACTGCAAGATCATCAGCAGATTCAATAAGCATAAAAAATCCATCCCTAATCTGTGCAGGACTGATGACATCAGCATACAATGCTGAAAGCAGAACTGAAGCCATTTCTTTCTCCTTATCATGCTTATCCATGGCCATGGACACAAGACGTTTAATGACGTATGGATAATATTCGTTAGAGCCAAGTTCTCTGAGGTCAGATGCAGCCATGTCCACATCCCCAGTACTGAAGAACTCCTCTATGATGGATACTATGGCTTTCTTGAATTCATCTAATGGGTCAGTAACGGTAGATCCAACCAACTGATAAGGTTCCTATAAATAGTAAGAGTATGCCAACAGAAATAAATTACGTGCTTATTTATGGATCCCATTCGCAACAGCCACAAAAAAAAAGTAATGATAATAAGCAGGCAACTATTTGCAATTCAGATAAATTAATTGAAAAGGAAAGAAACTGTTATTTAAAAAAACTAATTACCTAACTGGGGCAATCCTGCACACATAAGCATGCCACATGGACGTCATTCCTCGTGGCACCTTGCAAGGCACCACAAGAAATGGCTCCATATATAAATAGATAAATAAAAAATGCACAGCCTGCCATGTGGCTAGCTCATGTGGCACACTTTCCTCCTCCCTACCGGTAACTGAATTGTTTTTGTATCACTCACGAACACACATTAACCAATGCATTCCCACATAGAAGGCAATGCTTACATTCTCCAAATAATTGACTACTTAACAATGATTCAGGCAGAGCCTAGGAAATGGTGTAATTTACTCTACTTAGAATGGGCTTATGTCTACTGGCCTTCTTTTGCAATAAATGAAGAAATGCCATGAAAAAGAAATACAGAATAAATTAATGTATGGGGACGCAAGAAGTTAGTTTAGATGTTTTCACCAAACTCACAGAGAGAAAGGAATTGATTAGGTCAAAGTAGTTGATTGGGCTAAACAACAGTGAATGCATGGGGTTTCAGTAGGAAATGTGGTTGTTAATTCTTCAAAGAGGCAGTCAAATGTTCTTCCATTCATGCTTTGGCGCACATTTCATGTCAGATGTTGTACTACTAGTGCTGTTAGTTTAAATTTTAAACAAAAACAGCCATCAAAACTGATGGCAAATGCAACCTTTTTTGTTCTCCTTTGTCTAATTAAAGGGGACGAACCGGAGCAGTGGTAAAGCTGTCCCTTCGTGACTGAAAGGTCATGGGTTCGAATCCAGGAAACAGCCTCCTTGCAATTACGCAAAGGTAAGGCTGCGTACAAGGACTGCCTTCACCCCACACTTGCTAATCGGGTATAACAGGGAGTGGTTTTTGTCTAATTATGAATGCAATGGAATAGATTAGTTGTGGTTTATGCTATTGAATTGCAATACATATCGTGAATCAGTTCGCTGTTTTTTTATAGTGAATTGTGAATCGTTTTGAATCATAAGATTGAGATATATAATAAAACATGATTTGAAAATATATCATATCATATAAGTTATGTGTACGCAGTTTGAATGTTTCTGTTTTCGTGAACGTTTGAAACTGAAAGTCTCTGTTTTTGTGTTTTCTTACACAAGTCTCTATTCCTGAATGTTCTGAAGTTTAAATATTCTGAGTTATTCTCGCGCAAGTCTCGGTTTTAGTGTTTTCTTTTCCTAACGTATTAATTTGCATTAATTTGAATGACTCTCCAAATTCGTATAAATTTGAATTTGAACGCCTTTGTTTCCCTAATCTTAAGAGACTTTCTGACTTCGTATTTCATTGAACTCTCCATAGTCATTTCAATTTGAAAATTTGGAATCACAAACCTTGGACTAAATTTCAAATCGCAAATTTCGACACGATACTTAATCGCATGATTCCGCAATTCATGGTCCTTA